ACACAACCCCTACACATATACTGTACTACCCCTTACATATACATATACTACGCCTACTCATTCATATACTACTATAAGTACATGAATTTCATTAAAACAAACATACTGTACAGCTGCTCTTAAGCTCTTAAGGAAGATCCGCGTATCTATTCCTGAAACAGGAATAGATACGTACATATCGTACATATACTTATTCATACACAACACACACACACACACACACACACACACACACACACACACACACACACACACACACACACACACACACACACACACACACATATATATATATATATATATGTGTGTGTATATCACGAAAATAAACACGTGATTAAGAATGTGACAATGTCAGACCACGGAGGAAAAATGAAACAGGAATTTCCTTAAGTACTTTCGTATTGACCTTCTGAAGATGTATTTAATATACGAAAGTACTTAAGGAAATTCCTGTTTCATTTTTCCTCCGTAGTCTGACATTGTCACATATATATATATATATATATATATATATATATATATATATATATATATATATATATATATATATGTATACATATAGCATATATATTTTTCTGTTTCAGCATGCATCTTTTCCTTCTATTATCAGTGTTCTACCGACTACCTTTCTTCATTTTCTCTTCCTCGTCTTCCCCTCCCCCCTACCCACCTCCCACCATTCCCATTTCCTACTCTGAAAAGGGAGAACAAATATACTTCACATTTTGGGCTGATAGGCTACACACGCACGATCCAGCTAGCAAAAAATCACCTACAAATACCCCAAGCTCACTCACACAAATAAAAAAGCTCTTTCATCTCACGACCCAATCTGGCTCTGACATCACCTGTATGTAGGAAGTGTAGTGTGTGTGTGTGTGTGTGTGTGTATACTCATCTAGTTGTGCTTTCGGGGGTTGAGCATTCGCTCTTTGGTCCCGCCTCTCAACCGTCAATCTACTGGAGTACAGAGACCTGAGTTTCTCGAGCTTTATCATATCTTCATTTGAAACTGTGCATGGAGTCAGCCTCCACCACATTACTGCTTAATGCATTCCATTTACTAACTACTCTGACACTGAAAAAGTTCTTTCTAATGTCTCTGTGGCTCGTTTGGGTACTCTGCTTCCACCTGTGTCCCCTTGTGCGTGTACCACCCGTGTTAAATAATCCATCCTTGTCCACCCTGTCATTTCCCCTGAGAATTTTGTATGTGGTGATCATATCTCCCCGACCTCTTCTATCTTCCAGCGACATGATGTGCAGTTCACGCAGCCTTTCCTCATAATTCATGCCTCTTAGTTCTGGGACAGGCCTTGTTGCATACCTCTGACCTTTTCCAGCTTCGTCTTGTGCTTGACAAGGTATGGGCTCCATGCTGGGGCTGCATACTTCAGGATTGGTCTTACGTATGTGGTGTACAAGATTCTGAAGGATTACCTTGCACAGGTTTCTGAAGGCAGTTCTGATGTTAGCCAGCCTCGCATATGCCGCCGATGTTATTCTTTTGATATGGGCTTCAGGAGACAGGATTGGCGTGATATCAACTCCTAGATCTTTCTCTCTGTCCGTTTCGTGAAGGACTTCATCTCCCATTCTGTATTCTGGCCTCCTATTTCCTCCGCCTAGTTTCATCACTTTGCATTTACTTGGGTTGAACTTTAGTAGCCATTTGTTGGACCATTCCTTCAGTTTGTCTAGTTGTGTGTGTGTGTGTCTGTGAGGGAGGGAGAGAGAGAGAGAGAGAGAGAGAGAGAGAGAGAGAGAGAGAGAGAGAGAGAGAGAGAGAGAGAGAGAGAGAGAGAGAGAGAGAGAGAGAGAGAGAGAGAGTGAGTGAGTGAGTGAGTGAGTGAGTGAGTGAGTGAGTGAGTGGAAGAGAGAGAGAGAGAGAGAGAGAGAGAGAGAGAGAGAGAGAGAGAGAGAGAGAGAGAGAGAGAGAGAGAGAGAGAGAGAGAGAGAGAGAGAGAGAGAGAGAGAGAGAGAGAGAGAGAGAGAGAGAACATGATCACGTGTTCTTTTAACCTTCATCACAACCAATCATAGCAAATTGGCGCAGGTAAATATTGCCATTATTGAATTGAGGTACCTCCCCCCACCCCAAGCCCATATGAGGTTATTGCGTAAGCTGGAGTACAGGTTGTAACTAGGAGAGTGACAGCACAAAGGTTAAATTCAAACTGATGTAGAGTAGTAGCAAGTGGGGTTCCATAAGGAATAGTAATTGAGCCTCTGATGTTTCGCATATATTCAAACAGTCTAACCTATGAATGTAGAATCATACATGTCGATTTCACGGATGACACAAAACTATTGAGAGATGTCAGTACTGAGGAGGACTGTGTAGACCGCTCCAGGATGCAGTCATGGTCATAAAAGTAGTTTCTGATTCTTAAGGATGCTGGCAGCAGATGAGATAAAGATGGATTGTTTAGAAAGGGAAACAATGGAACGAGGGATTATGGACGGATGCTGAGATACCCGGAGGAGCCATAGGTACGTAAGGGAACATTTCATTAATGTCAGAGAATCAGAGTAACGAGTAAATGAGTAGACTATAAGCGGGAATAGTATAAGTTAACTCGATACCAATTAAGAAATGCCGTTTAAAGAGAAGTTATAAATAAAATTGAGAGTCGGGAGTTATTGCAACTAGGTCAGTATATTTAGGTGAACACAACAGCGAGTACAATTAGGTAAGTACATCTAGGGGAGTACAACAGTATAGTAGACAGGTACTTGAGTGCTTAGGGCTATGGCGGGCCTGAAGTCCGAAGTTCGGTGTCCAAAGGGTTTGAAGAAGGTGGTGGTAAGGAAGAAGGATGAGGAATAGAAATTCTGGAAGAGGATGGGGGTTTGGGAGTGAGGAGGATCGAAAGTTCGGTGGCCTGTCCACTATGGGTTGGCATGAGGGTCATATGTTCGGTGTGTGTTGTGGGTGTGTGTGTGTGTTATGGGTATGTCAGTACGCTGGCTAGGCTGGTTAGTTGTGGGTGTCTAAGCTGGTGTCTGGGTAATATTGAGCCAAAGACACTGGCTAGAGGAGGCTATCCTCAAGAACATTAGGCTAACCGTACTGCTTGCAGCTACAGCAAAGATTTTGTTTTGTTGAGCTGTATTCGTTTATTTTATATTTTTTATTATGTAAAGATAGGGTCCGGAAATACCCACTCGTCTGGGTCTTTTAGCAATCTGCTCAGAATTTGTGGTTTCGGAAATGTATCGTCGTGTATGAACCTTATCACTTTTTGCTAGAGTGATTCTTCTGGTTTTGTGTGGAGATTCAGGCTAAATATCATAGTTACTGGCTGTGTTGATGGCTACATCTGAATTTTCTCGGTCTGGAACATAGAGCTGGTGCATACGGTACAGCTGTTTTCTTGCTTGGCAATTGAGTCTGACGTTCATTGGCATAATTTTGAGGGCTCCGGGAAGTTGGTCGGTTCTCACTCTGTCTGCCCGGGACAGGTTCGCAGCGAAGCGGTGTGCTTTGTTTTGAATTCTGTATCTTTATCTTGTTGGTTTTGGTAGTGAGGTTCAGGGGGTTATAAGGGTACTCGAGACGGCAGGCCTCTGTTGTACTAACAAGCGACAACTTCACCATCAGAGGGCTTTGTGGCACTAACGAAGGATTCGAGGAATTGAAGGGTAAACTGTTGCTAACGAAGGGTTAAGGTAACTAAACCCAATCTGTCGTTAACGAAATGTTAAGGGAATTAAACCCAAACTGTCGTTAACGAAGGATTTCCTCGTTGTGTCAGCGAACTCTTCTTCTTGTAAGGTGCTTGAAAGACTAGTTTTTTGCTACTCAGATTGACAGTTGAGTGACACAGACACCGTTGACGTATAGTGACCCTGGAGTCGATATATGAAAAAAAGTTCTACTGGATCGTCGAGGTATTTAGCCATCTGTGTTAAATTATGTATATTATGTTATTGTCAATGTATAATTTCGCGTGTATGATGTGATTTCTAATTGAGAGTGTAGCCTTGAACTGTTTAAAAGTTGCAGGTGACGTTGTTATACATTTGGTGAGTTTTTCTTTTGTGTATAATATCATAATGTTATGTTTTAGGTATCACAACATAATTTCTGTAGTGTAAGTTATATTTATTATAGTTAACATAATTTGTTTAGAATATGTTGTTTTGTGTATAATTTTGTATGGCTAATGCTCCTGTTATTCTTTGTTTTCTGACTCTGTAATTGTATTATTTATTGGGAAACATGATTTTATACTGAGTGTTATGGTGAACCAATATATCATTAGTCCCTGTAGAAAAGCATAAATATTTTGGCAATCTTCTGTTTGTAGTAGCCTCTTGTGCAGTTCTTTGATAAAGGCTGGGTTAAGGGAATTAAACCCAAACTGGTGCACAACGCTGTTTGGTAGTTGATGAAAACAGTCTTCCTCTCTTTCATGTATGATCTGCATTGTCATATAATTCAAGAAGATTAGTCAGGCATAATTTCCCTCACTAAATCTGTGCTTGCTTTTGAATAGGTGCAATCTCCGTCCATTCTAGGTATACATGTCACTACCTCAGGTCAGTATATATTTAACTGAATGTTTCCTGCTTATGTCCTTATTTTGATATTAGGATTGTGTTGGGCACTTACTAGCGTTTTGGAATCTCAGAAAACTCCGATGATTGGAGATCATGGCAAATGACACATCCTGAATATTTACGTTTATTTTTATTTAGAGCCCGTGTTGAGATTGTCTGGTCATTTCTCAGTTTCACTGCTTATAGCTGTTTCTGTACCTCCTCTTTGGTTAATGAGTATTATACAGTTTCTCCCCAGGTACTGTCTCATCACCATCTGGTCCGGCTCAGTATGAAGACTTCGTTGCTTTTCTTGAGTTCCTCACAGACATTTTTGTAGTTTACAGTCTGAGGTCTTGTTTGTGTTCATGTCTGTGTACTTGTGTTTGTGTTCATGTATCTGCCACCAAACCCCCACCACTGTTCTCACAACTAACCACCTTCGTTTCCCACAGAACCTGCTGGACAAGTTCAACCCGGCGGCCAGGAATCTCATCACGGCTGGTAAAGCGTACCTGAAGGCGCTCCACGGTAAGTGCGCACCCGTTTAGATTTTGTATTCGGGCATGGGATGGCTGATTGAGGGAATTACTTTCTCCAGGGCGGGAGGTTATACGGAATAAATATTTCAGCAGGCTTGGAGAGGAATACCGCTGGCGATAGATTGGTGTAGTGGTAGTGTATCAGGCAGGCAGGTATCAGGTGCATGTGGTGAAGGGTTTGACACTGGATGCCGTTAAGGTGCTGCTCAACGCTGGGAGCACATTCACCCTTCTGGAAGCTGCAAAACAGGCTCTTGAGATGCTACACTTAGATACCCAGGTTCTGAACACTCACCAGACTGCTTACTGACCTTTTGTTGGGCCGTTACAGTAAGGTCACTGATTGAGATAGTGGGTCAGTGTAAGTATGGTGTTGTCGGTTGGGGGGGAGGGGGGGGAGTGGTGAAGGTGAGGACTTGGGCGTTGTGGTGGTAATGGTTCGTTGTGAGGAGGGATGGTTAGGATTGGTGTGGTCATGAGGGATGAATTGGTGGGGGTGTTGATGTACGGGTTGGGGGTAATAGTTTGTGGGCAACGTAGTGGCGAGGATGGGCATGGTGATGAAGTTGTAGTATGATAATAATAGTGTATGACCATAGACATTAAACTGGATTGAAGGAGCAACATTCATGAGTATTTAATACGTCCGGATCATGTCCCTTTATTTTACCTTACAGTATCATTAGTATTAACTTCCTCAGTCTCTCCCCATAGCTCAATCCCTTCATTTCTGCAACTAGTCTTTAAGCGGACCTCTGTACATACTTACTTGTGTAAAGAAGGAAATGTATATGTTTATCTCTCAGAATGTTCGGTAATACGTTTATTGCTTGTGATGTGTGTCTATGTATGTATGTATTAACACGATGTACTGAACGGGGTGAGAATAGCTTGAGCTACCTCATCCCTTTGTGTGTATTTTACCTCAATAAACTTATTTCAATTTCTGTACATACTTAATCATCGTGTATAGTGCTTTGTGAGGTTTGGGCTCCACGCGGGTGCTGCATACTCCACCACTGGCTGGACTTATTTTGTAGAGTATAAAGCATTTTCAACACATCCAGCTTACCTGGATCTTACCTAGAGAGGGTTTCGAGAGTACTTCTACTCCCCAAGGCCGGCCTAGGTTCCTGGAGGCGGTCCTGATGTTGACCAACTTAGCTTACACTGCTTTTTTTTTTTTTGCATGGATATTCCTGCGCGAGCCCTAAGCCTCTGGCTGGCCCACCAAGTGTTGCTTGTTTCTGTTTTACTTGGGCGGAGTATGAGTATTTATGACTCGTATGGTCGCTTCAGTAAGATTTTGTCCCATGTGTTTAATAACTTCTGCTCTGTTGAATCTAAGTTGAAATCTTAATAGATTTGTAATTGTGTACAGTATTAGATAATGTTCCAGTGGTCTGTCGGGCATTTCTCCACAGTGCTGACATTTCTTCTCATCTTCCAGAACCTGTAAGCCTATTTTTTTATTTTATTTTTTTTTTTTTTGAGATATATACAAGAGTTGTTACATTCTTGTACAGCCACTAGTACGCGTAGCGTTTCGGGCAAGTCCTTAATCCTATGGTCCCTGGAATACGATCCCCTGCCGCGAAGAATCGTTTTTTCATCCAAGTACACATTTTACTGTTGCGTTAAACAGAGGCTACAGTTAAGGAATTGCGCCCAGTAAATCCTCCCCGGCCAGGATACGAACCCATGACATAGCGCTCGCGGAACGCCAGGCGAGTGTCTTACCACTACACCACGGAGACTGCCCGCCCACCCACTCATTCACCTGCCCACCCCACCCACTTATTCACCTGCCCTCCCACTCACCACCACCAGAGACCACCACCACCTTTCGTATTTCTCATGCACATGGGTATCCAAGCCTGATGCGCATATACTGCTGATGATTCAGTTCGTGTGTGAGTCCGGAGATAGATAGTGTTATGTCTATTCTAAGATCTTTTCCTCACACTGAACCTGTGTACTTACCTAAGTGTAATTACCTGAACGTAATTACAGGATGAAAACTTCGCTCGTGGTGTCCCACATCCTCTTCAAGAATTTCAACTCCTCATCCTTCTTCCAATCCTCCCCCCCCCCCCCGTCCCCTCAACTTCTCGAAACCCTTTGGACAAAATCGAACGACCGATTGTCCCGTTTTCCCAGTACACTTTGTCATGTCGCTCTGACACTTCTGACAGGTTTGGCCTGTACCATCTATTTGTTCACTTTCATTGGTCCAACCGTTCACAATATTTGTCACCTTTGTTTTCCTTGCTTTCGTCACTTTTGTTTTCCTCGATTTCGTCACCTTTGTTTTCCTTGCTTGAGTTTTTTCTGTTATTATAAAAACATCTTCGTGAAGTTACATGTTTAAAAACTTCCTACTATGATTTTGTATGTGGTAATCATATCTATCTACTATCTTTGTATATTTAACTCTCAAGGCTGTCTGCATAGCTGTTGTTTGTTAGTCTGGAAACTATTTGGCATCGTGTCTTTGGCCGTCAGGCTGCGAACAGCCGCGTCCAACAGCCTGGTTGACCAGTCCAGCAACGAGGAGGCCTGGTCGAGGACCGGGCCGCGGGGACGTTGAGCCTCGAAATCATCGCAAGGTAAGGTAACTATACAATTGCTGCATACTAAAATTACGGAATCACGAATGTCATGTGTGTATTTATTATTTGTGCCTTCAGGATCGAGCTGTTAGTTCATGGACCCCGCTTTTCCACCCTTGGGTTGTGACTCCCGACCTATTTTCCTCATTCATTTTGAAAATCGCTACTAAAGTTTAACTCAGGAAAGTGTAAAGTAATGAAATTAGAAGGGAGCAGGAGGCTGAATATCATCTGGGAGGTGAAATCCTGCAAGAGTCAAATAGAGAAAAATCTCGGGATTGATAACACACTGAACCTGTCCCCAGAGGCCCACATCAAAAGGATGTCGTTAGCAGCATATGCTAGATTAGCCAACATAAGAACTGCCTTTAGAAACTTGTGTAAGGAATCGTTCAGGACCTTGTATACCACTTATGTCAGACCAATCTTAGTGTATGCAGCTCCAACCTGGAGTCCATACAAAGTTAAACACAAGACAGAAGAGTCAGAGGTATGCCACCAGACTAGACCAAGAACTGAGAGATTTGAGCTACGAGGAAAGGCTACGGGAGCCAAATCTCAAGTCCCTGAAAGACAGAAGAGTAAGGGGAGACATGATGACCAACTACAAAATTCTCAGGGGAATTGACAGGGTGGACAAAGACAAACAATTTAGAATGGGTAGAACACTAACACGGGGACACAGGTGGAAACTTGGTACTCAAATGAGCCACAGAGACATTAGAAAGATTTTTTTCAGTGGTAGAGTAGTTAACAAATGGAATGCATTAGGCAATGATGTGGTGAAATCAGACTCCATACACAATTTCTAATGTAGATTTGATAGAGCCCAATAGGCTCGAGAATCTGTTCTCCCGTTGATTGACAGTTGAGAGACGGGACCAGAGAGACAAAGCTCAACCCCTACAAGCCGTAGATGCAGCCGTAGCAGTTGTCTAACTTCCAGGTACCTATTTTATTGCTAGGTGAACAGGTACATCAAGTTTTGTTCCTGCCTGAGCTGGGAATCACACCCCAACCCGTTCTCGCAAATTTAATAAGTCAATATTGACTTATTAGTTGCGTGCATAGGTGACATACTAAACATAATAGTTTCCCTTGAAAAGCTTCATAGAAAACACCGACCCTACCTAACCTACTTAGTATGTTAAAATAAGCATCTTATAGCTTCGTAATTACAATTGTTACTTAAACTATTATAGGTATAGGTTAGGTAATAATTGTAATTACGAAGCAATAAGATGCTTATCTTAACATACTAAGTAGGTTAGGTAAGGTCGGTGTTTTCTATGAAGCTTTTCAAGGGAAACTATTATGTTAAGTATGCCACCTATGCACATATTTAATAAGTCAATATTGACTTATTAAATTTGCGAGAACGGGTTGCACACCCACTACCTTGGGGCTTCGACCCCCCTCCCCCCCCGTGTCCACTGGGCCGCGTGTGCACGCGCGTATATTTGGTTATGTCGCTCTCCCCTTCACAAATACATTTCACCTACCAACATAAACTGAGAGGGGGGCAGGATGGAGGTCAACACAGAAGGTAGATTGTTGGTGATGTCAACGGGCCATCGACCCCCCCCCACTCGTCTCCTTCAGTTCCTCTCCATTGCCTCTCCTCCCTCCTTCTCCCCCCCCCCCTGCTCTCCCTCTCAAGCATAGGCAACCCGTCCTCTCAAATAACAGGTCGCGTTTTGTGCGTTATGGTAAACCAACGTTTCAAATGAAACTTTCTATGAAAAGTAACGGCTCACAAATATTCACGTTTTCTATGCCTCGGAGTGATAGGTGAAGTGGGTTGCTTGGGTTCGTATGTTTCTGGCTAGGTTAGGAAGTGGGATTTTATACGTAGTGGTAAATCAAGAGAAGAACCTGCATGCTCACACCCACCAGCGATACGGATTAACAGCGAGCCAAATGTTGTGTGTACATAGGTAAACAAATTATAAATTAAAAATAAACCTAGTAAAAATATACATAATGCATCACGTGTTAATTTTTTCGTGATTTACACACAATACAGTAAATGTAAAAAATAATAAATTAAAATATAGTAAATATTGCATGTAAAGTAATGTAATAAATAAATAAATAAATAAATGACAATTTAAAAAATACGCAAGAAATAGCTATATTTTAAAATGTTCATAAAAATTAGTTAATAACGTCATAACTATATTGAACAATTAAGAGTGAACGTGTGTGGCAGTTTCCAGACCGGGAGTGAACTCTGAAACACTCAAATGGACGTTACAAAGTGATAATTGCAGTGAGCAAGTCATTAATTGCTCACTGGTCGTCTACCACCGGAATCACCAATGAGTTGTGCTGGGTTAAAATACATTTAACAAATACAATTCGGGAGGGGCGGAAT